AAGAGGGTTCCCCTTTCTCCACAACCTCTCCAACATTTGTTGTTTCTTGCCCTGTCCATTTTTGCCATTCTAACTGGTGTAAGGTGGTATCTCAATACACTAACGATGCAACTGTAGAAAGAGAAATTATGTGTAAAATCTTAAAACCATTTTTGCCTTAAGCAGTACGAGTCCTATGCAGATATAGCTGTGAACAAACACAACTCTGTTGGCAACGCCAAACTTATCATTTGAAGATACAGACTTTTCAATCTCTCACGACTGCTGATGGTGGTGCAAATTTGGTATACTACTTTGAAAAACTATTTGGTAGTATCTCTTAAAGCTAAATGACACCTACCCTGAAGAACCAGTAATTCCACTCCTAGGTATTAACCCAAGAGAAATTAATAAAATATTAAATATATATATTGTATATGTATATATATATATATATGTATATATATATGACATATATATACTTTAGCAACCCATTTAACCACTGTGCACCTCAGTTTATAAAATGGGAACAACAGTACATGGTTCTAGGGCTATACCAAGGATTAGATGTATATAAATGCACTTTAATAAAGGTCCTATACAAGTTCTATTTGGAGTAGAAATAAAATATAAACCATTTCTGAATTAATGAATAACTGGGATTACAGGTCTCCCTCAGATATGGGTATAGCCCATAGACTACTCTTCTAAGAGGTGGTATTTAATGTCTATTGGGCAGTCCCCACCTCTGCCTCAACATTTCTATGTGAGCAAACTTCCCATGGCTAATTCTTCCCCCTTCCCATTCCAGGGTGCATGCACATCCAAAGCTCGTTTCACCAGGAAGGAAAACGACTAAGCTTGATCTGTACTTTGCAGTATAAGAAAGAAGAGGCTGAGGGGGCTATAGTGTTTTTGTGCAAGGACAGGTCTTCGGACTGTTTCCCTGAGACCAGCTTAGAGCAACTGAGACTTAAACGGGATCCTGGGAGAGATGGTGTCAGTGAAAGATCATCTAAGTTGGTGTTCACCATAAACCAAACCACACCATCGGACAGCGGGACCTACCAGTGTTGTGCCACAAGCCAGACGCCAGAAATCCGCCTTCAGGGCCACTTTTTCTCTGTTTTAGTCACAGGTAAGCTCTGATACCCCACATGCCAGCAGATGAGATAATAAGCAGGGTCAACAGCTAGAGACAGAAATAGTTACTTCAGGTCCTGGATAGGCAGTCTTCTTGGGGGAAGAGTCATTCCCATCACTCAGTCATTTCCCACCAGTCCCACTGCAGTGGCAAATGCTCACAGCATGAATACAAAAGTAATCTCATTTCGTCTTTTATTTTAAAAACCTTACTGAGGTAAACCATTTCATTTTTATTGACACTGAGACTGAGTTACATGGAGGTAAAGCAATTTGTTCAATTTGTCTCACTGACCAGTGCCAGTAAAAGCAGATAAAGGTCTGAAAGTCAGGCTTTCTGCTTCTAATTCAGAGAACTCTCAGAAATGTGGTTCTATTTCTAAATATAGACACTGAGCCTTCACGCTGTGACAGAGACGGATTTGAGATAAAACGGATGGTTGTTTTAATGAACATTTAGTTGTAAGAAACAGAAACCTACTCAAGCTGCCATAGGTTAAAAGGAACAAATAATAAAGCAGGAATAAAGGAATAAAGCCCTCATGAGATCTGGTTTCTGGAATCAGAAACCAGAAAGCCAACAGAACCTAAACAGTTACAGTCTCAATCTCTCTGGGGCAGTAAGGCCTCTCATCCCTGCATATTTCCTTTATTTTGTGCCTACTCCCCTACTCTGTTACTACTTAGACAAAACCTAAATATGGTCAACTCCAGACTCAGCTTTATGTATGACTTCCTCATAGGCCCAGCAGAGAGTGACTCTTGTGTTTCTATATTCCCAAAGGAACAAGTCTTCAAAACTGAGAATTATGTTCTAATTGGAATTCTATACCCATCCAAACTACCAATCGAATGTGAGGAAAGAATAAAGACAGACATGCAATGACTCCAAAAAAAAAAAAAAAAAAAAAAAAGATTGCCTTCCATGTGATCTTAAAAAGCCACCAGAGGTGTGCTTCAGAAAAAACAGGAAGTGAATAGGTAGAGTGGATAAAATGGGATCTAGGAAAGTAAGGACTCTAATAGGGGAAAGGAAATAAGGAAATTCTAGAATGAAAAATGGCCAAAACAGGCAATTAGTCCAAAAGGAACAAGAGAAAGAGGGCTCTGGAAGATCTTGAGGAGGGGAAAACAGAATTGATAGGTTATCTTTCTGAAGGTCTGTGACAGATTGGATGAAGGATTAAAGATATGGATATGGAAAATTCTGCCTGGTTAAAAAAAAAATAAGGTGATCATCATCTCCAGGGAAAACACCAAATTTTACAAAAGGAAACCTAATCATGGCACACAACTTGGCTCTGTAATACGTAACATTTACAGAATCCAAATTACATAAACATTAATTTAACTACAATGTGTAATATAATGATTTGTAAAAGATGCAGAGAAGGAAAGTGGGTAGAGGTTTATCTACATATCCTCATCTTCTTTTAACAGAAAATCAATAGATAATGCCTAAATTTTATCATCAAGAAGTGGTAATATAAGCATACTATTTAGGAATACTATTTAGGAATACATCTGAGTTGACAGTGGTTGTCCGGGGGAAATAAGCCTAGGAGGAAAAAAAGACACTGCTATTATTCTTTATGAACTTTCAAATACTATATTTTAACTTCAAGAAAACGAGAAATAAATTACACCCCCTCCCAAAAAAAAACCTAGCCCAGAGCCTTTTAACAAATATTTTAATCATTTCCTATGGCTAGCAGTTAATCCACGTTTTCTATGTCAGTCTAGATTGATTTATATGTTCTTCCTTGCTTCCTGGTGTCTTCCCCTCTGACCTCGCTACAGCATCTAGCACTTCCATTCTCTCCCATCTCTACTGGCTTCTGCGACTCTCTACTTCCCTGGTTTTCCCACCTTTCTGGCTGTTCTTTCTCTCCTTCTCTGCCTCCATTTCCCCCTCCCACCTCTCAAACATGAGAATTCATTCCCCAAGACTCACTCCTCACCTCTGATCTTTTCCCTATTGTTTCTCCCAAGTTCTCATTCACCCTCATGATTTTACCTGCACCTTCTTGCAAACTGACCCACAAATCAACTTCTCTAGCTCTAACCTCTTCCTAAGTTTCAATTTAACATTTTCACTGACTGGGCTCCTAGCTTCTGACTGCCCTGCCATCTCTTCACTCAAATCTGAGACCCTAGTTCTGCCCATGATTTAGTCAAAATCTTGATTTTTTCTCTTCTCCATACATTTACTAAGTACAAGTAGTTCTTCCCCACTTTTTATTCCTTTCTTTCCAAAGGGGTTTCCCAAGTCTTCATCATCTCACACTTAAAATATTCCCAATAGTCTCCTGGCAAGCCCCTTGAGATCCAACCTCGTCTTATTCATCGTTGTATCTCCTCCCACACCTACCTCAGGGCCTGGCACTGAGCTGTTACCTAATAAATGATCCATCAACTCTAAATACTATCTCTGCCTCCAAACCAAACAGCCACCTGACCTCTTTCTAAAATGCTTATTTGTACATGCCACACCACCAGTTTTAAAGGTTTTTCACTGTCTATGGGACAAAGTCTAAATTACTTTTGCCTCGCACCGGAGGCTCTATAAAATTTCATTCTATTTATGTGAATACTCTGTTCCAATTGATCTCACTAGGGGAAACTCTTGTCATTCTTCTCACACTTCTCATATTGATTGTGCATCCCACAGACACAATGCTAAGCTTGGAGAAGAGAATGGGGGGAGCAAGAAAGCCCTTACTCCTTATAAACTAATCTATATATAGTCTATAATCTAGTCACATTCTTTTAATATGCCCTAAGCATTTCTACTTGTGATGGCGCTCCGTAAGACAAAATGCCTTTCTCATCCTCAGTATACTTAAGTATTAGAGTCAGCACATACGGATACTCACCAAAGGCAGAGATGATAAAAGTTCCTTTTGGAAGGTGAAACTAACAAAGCCAGACAAGTAACATATAGTATCAGTAAATAATGTGTACCATTTACTACTACATTTACTACCATGTGTGCCAAGCATTGTGCTGAATGATGTATTGATTATTTCATTTAATCTTCATGGCCTTTTTGAGCAGCTGTTGTCATGTGAAAAGTCAGTCTCAAAGGTAATTTGGGGTAATTTTATTCAGCTAGTAAATGGTGAATAAAAATCCAGATCTATTCCAAAGCCCAGATTTTAACTTACGCTAAACTGCTTGACACACTCTGGAAGATGGTTTTTAAGTGAGGGGGCACCCAAGTCCAAGGTGACTAAGCTATTTTAGCTGTCTAACAAGACTTTAAAGTTCCTGTTCTGTTCTGTTCTGTTTGCATCCCCAGTGTGACACATAGATTCTGTACCTATTTTTCGCTGTTTAAGTACCTCATCATCACTACCCATAAATGTTAAAAAATACTTATTTGGGCAATAAATTGTGCTGAGCGCTGTCCTTGGAGATCAAAAAAGATGTTCTGAGATGATGCAAAAGGAGGTATTAATGATTTCTGAAACCCTCCCCTGATAATTAATTCTCTTTTGAATCAGAGACAGGGAACTACACAGTGAAGGGACTGAAACAAACAGGATACTCCGAGTTCAGTCACAGTAAAGGCACTCTCAGTTCAGGCTTCCTGCAAGAAAAAGCCTGGGTGATGCTGGTCACCAGCCTGGTGGCCCTTCAAGGTATGTTCAGAAGAACCTTAAGCACCCCAGGTAGTGAGGGTGCTACACCTTTGACGTCTTGATTATCCTCCAAGAGGAGATGTAGAAAGGAAGCCTAGAGTGGGAGAGTGAAGTGCTGCTCAGGTCCTGGCTGTCCACAGGAAAACATCAAACCAACATGAGGGCAAAACTGGTCCAAAGGGACTCAAGACTTTATAATAACCAGAGGAAGATGGATGAAACACCTTTTCCATTGGATAGGAGGTCAGACCTGTTAGGAAAGCAAGCTTGTGGGAGAGGCAAATAAATAAATACAGCTGCCTCTACTCACTGGGCCAACAGAAGACTACAAGTTAAGGCAACAGATATTTGCCTATGAACAAGGCAAAAGTCAGACCAGGTCTGGAGGTGGGTTTTAAAAATGCAGCTCTTGGGGCACCTGGGTGGCTCAGTTGGTTAAGTGACTGCCTTCGGCTCAGGTCATGATCCTGGAGTTCCAGGATCGAGTCCCGCATCGGGCTCCCTGCTCAGCAGGGAGTCTGCTTCTCCCTCTAACTCTCCCCCTCTCATGTGCTCTCTCTCAAATAAATAAAATCTTTTTAAAAAATAAAAAAATAAATAAAAATGCAGCTCTTTGGCAAAGGCTGATGGGCAGATTGAGTATAGACACTTGTAGGTGAGTCCTCTGAGCATCACATCAATATAGATCATGGGTTTCCCTATTAGATAACAGATTGGAACTCACGATGATTTGTCATTACATTTTTGCATAATCAGTAACTGATGCAGCTCTTTGCCTGTCCTTGGCATTTTTTTTTTTTTTAATATTTTACTTATTTGAGAGGGAGAGAACACAGAAGGAGAGGGAGAGGGAGAGGGAGAAGCAGACTCCTCGATGAGCAGAGAGCCCAATGCGGGACTCGATCCCAGGACCCTGAGATCATGACCTGAGCCAAAGGCAGATAGATGCTTAACTGACTGAGCCACCCAGGCGCCCCGCCTGTCCTTGGCATTCTTTTTTTTTTTTTTTTTTAAAGATTTTATTTATTTGTCAGAGACAGAGAGGGAGAGCACAAGCAGGGGGAGCAGCAGAGGGAGAAGCAGAATCCCTGCCAAGCAAGGAGCCCAATGCGGGACTCGATCCGAGGACCCTGGGATCATGACCTGAGCCGAAGGCAGTCGCTTAGCCGACTGAACCACCCAGGAGTCCCTATCCTTGGCATTCTTAATTCCATTTTTTTTTAAAGCTTTCCTCTAATCAATAACTACCACTGTTTGCATGCCACCAGAATATAAGCTCTATAAATGCAGGGGCTTTGTCTCATTTACCCCAACAAAAAGACAGTACCAGGCACATAGTAAGCTCTTATTAAATTTGTTTAAAGAATTTGTATGATGGGTTAGGTTTTACATACGGTGATTCTTACCCCATATAACCCTTCCAGGCAAACATTCCCTGATTACTCATCAGTAAACAGACACAAAGAGCTTAAATGTTGCTCCAGTTCACAGGAATACAGGACCTTCTCACCCCAAAACCATGTGCTCTCAGTAATTACCTACTATATGCTAAGTATCTTCTCTCTCAACTCCTTCACCACGCTCCCTATTCTGAGATTGCCTCCTCCCAAATAGGATCACCTAACACTCCCTTATTCCAGCCTTTTTTTTTTTTAAGGTTTTTGTGTGTGTGTGTGTGTGTTTTCAAGATTTCATTTATTTATTTGACAGAGAGTACAAGCAGGGGAAGTGGCAGGGAGAGGGAGAAGCAGGCTCCCGCTGAGCAGAGAGCCCAACGTGGGGCTCTATCCCAGGACACTGGGATCATGACCTGAGCTGAACGCAGATGCTTAACCGACTGAGCCACCCAGGTGCCCCGTTATTCCAGCCTCTTAACTGCAAACTATCAAAAGAAAACAGACCTTACCTATGATCCTTGGTAAGGACGTGCCAAATATAAGCCTATGACAGTTGTGAATATCAAGCAGTCTGACCCTTTAGACCTAATTCTTTATTGAATCTAAATTCCCTCAGATAGTTAGCTACTCTGTTAGTAAAATAAATTGTATTTCTTCATACAGAAACAACTACTCTGAAAAGGAAATTGAGTCTAACCATGCAATCTATGACCACTTACTACCTTTGACTCCCAAGTTATGCTAGAGTAAAAACTCTCTCAGCTCTTTTCCCCTTTCCAATCAGGTAAAGGGAATGAACTTTTGATAGTTGATGCCTTTTATCCTTCTCCCCCCAAATGAAGGCTTAGCAGAACTATGGAAAGGGTAATATTCAGTAGAATAAAAGGACACACATTTTGTCAGGCCCAGAGAGATCACATAGATCAAGTTAGGATGCTTATATGTTATCAAAAGGATGAGGAAGGGGCGCCTGGGTGGCTCAGTTGGTTAAGCGTCTGCCTTCAGCTCCGGTCCTGATATCAAGGTCCTGGGATCGAGTCCCACATCAGGCTCTCTGCTCAGTGGGGAGTTTGCTTTTCCCTCTAATAAATGAATAAAATCTTCAAAAAAAAGGATGGGAAGTTTCCTGGATCTCTGGGCCTCCCTCAGCTCATGAAACCACCTTCAGTGAGTATCCCTGTCCTATCACTGTGTCAGCCTTCACATGGAAAACCTACCTGGAATTTTTGGGAGGCATCTATTTCTTCTTTGATTGCCCTAGCTTCCCGCAAGGAGACACTGAAGGTTGGCTTCCTCCCCACTTCCACCAGCCCAGTCAGATTTGCTAGAGGTCACAACTGCAACTTTAGCAATAAGATACAACTGATTATAGAGAAGAGTTTTATATACCCTTCCTTCTTTCCTTTCCATTCCCTCCCTAGTCACCAGGGCCAAACAATGAATTATCAGGTATCTAAGTTGTATGACAGTAATACAAACTTTCCTTTTTCTTTCTACAGCTTTGTAAGCCTTGTGCCAGAAACTTTAAAAAAACAAGTTACAGCAAGATAAACCTGACTCTCTTTAGCTTGCTACCTTTCACATTACAACATACACAGAGAAGAAAACAGCACAGGGGAAGAGATGCTAAATATGCCAAGAACCTGGGAAATGTAAGGTGGGACAAATAATGTATTCCTTGAGTTCCCCTCCTCACTGCCATAACAAACCTGCCTTTCTTCCCACCTCTGTAACCACTTAAGAAAAAAAAAAAAAAAAGAACAACTTTTACAAAAGTAGCTGGCGGACAGTTCTCACTCAAACATTGGATAAGTATGTGGTATGTGTGTTTTTGTACTGAAGAAAAAGTTTTCCTCCCCCCTTCCTCCAACACAGTAAAATAAACAAGCAAGCCAAACAAAATGAGAACACCAATTCTTTTTGAAGAAATTTTTATTTAACACTAAAAAGAAGAGAGAAGAAACAAGCAAAGATAGGATAGGAAAAGAGAGACAGAGCCAGTGACTGACTTGGCATGAAAATGAAGAAATGGAGAGACCCTGGCATTCAAGAGCATCCCCACAGCGTGGCTGGAGGAAGAAGAAGCTTTGTATGCCCAGGTGCACCACAGAGCATAATGCCCAGCTTCAACTGAGTACTTGTCAGTCTCTTTGGTCCCATCTCTTTCCTTTGAAATAAATGCCCAGAGCGATATTTGCAGCCTTTTCCTTTCTCCTAAATTCACAAATCCTCTTGTCTTTCTCTTTGGACAGATGACCTCTTGTCATAGTTAAATGGGGGCAGGGTGAGGAGATGAGGAGGACGACGACAGGATTTACCTTGATAGGAGGAACTACATGAATTACGAGGTTAAGAACACAGACAATTTAACTGGAGCTAAACGGCAAGCCATCAAAAGGAAACAGACACCTTACCTGTGATCCTTGGCCAGGACCTGCCAAATGTGGGAGCGAAGGTTTGTGGGAAGAGAGAAAAGGCTGAAAAAGATGGGTTAGACCCTTATTAGTGATGGCGTAGACCCTCAACCTAAGGACTTTGGATTTTGTGCCTTATGGAGGTAAAAAAGACGAGGCATGGAGTCAAAACACCTGGATTCAAATTCTGGCTCTTCAGTGTACCAGCTGTGTCCTTAGGCAAATGAAGTTTTGAGATGCGATTTCTGTTTACTTATCTCTAAATGGAATCTTGCCTACTCTATCTTCTGTTTCTATAGCATTGCTCTGAGGATCAAATCTGAGACTCTAGATTTTAAACCCACAACCATTTGAATTCTGACTCCAAAGTCTCCAAAGTTTTCTCCATTAAATTATGTTCACTTAAATCTTTCTCTACCTGTTTTATGTAGGTTTTGTTTCTAACTAAATTTTAAGCTCATATGGGTGGAGATGTCTTCTGCTTTTTACTATTCAAAGAATCTTCTGAAATTTCCCAACATTACACAATCACTGGAAGTCTCATGAAGAAGCCACATCCTACTACAGAAAACGTTTCATCCATTGTGCTATACTAATTATAGTCCACACATAAAAATCTGCAAAAGGATACATGACCGCTGTCCAAGCTTGTTAAGACATTCAAGAGCACTGGACTATTAGCTCTAAGTAGAATAAACAAAGCAACAGCAAGTCAGAAGTCCCATTTCTAAAGAATTCACATTTTATGTATTCTGCTTATCTCAAGACTTGGTCAAACAGAAATGTGAAATATTTATAGCCTGGCTTTAAAAACTATTGATATCACTGACTTCAAATAAGCCTACAAATTTCCATGCATGAATAGGTAGTTTTCTGAACACACATCTTAACCTCAATCCATAGGAGTGATTCACAACCCAGGCATGGAATGTGAACCTCTGTGGGGCCATGGAGCTATTATAAGGAATCTGTATAAGCACCATCTTCTGTCTGAATAAATAATATATCTTACAAATATTTATATACTATATTTCAACTGGATGTAGATTATGGTGTTACTAATAAAGACAAACTAATTTAAAAGCATTACTGATGGGTGCCTGGCTGGCTCAGTTGGAAGAACATATGACTCTTGATCTCGGGGTCCTGAGTTTGAGCCCCACATGGGGTGTAGAGATTACTTTAAAAAAAAATTTTTAAGGGCGCTTGGGTGGCTCAGTTGGTTAAGCCTTCGGCTCAGGTCATGATCCTGACGTCCCTGGATCGAGTCCCGCATCAGGCTCCCTGCTCGGCAGAGAGTCTGCTTCTCCCTCTGACCCTAACCCCTCTCATGTGCTCTCTCTCATTCTCTCTCAAATAAATAAATAAAATCTTTAAAAAAAAAAAATTTTTTTTAAAGCATCATTGAAATCACAGCAGCTTTTTGTTATGTATTTTTTCATAAAAAGATACTAAAAATACAACTATCATCTTGTTGTGAGGAGTCTAATAATTTTTGGACCTTAAAAATAGTACACCTTATTAGAAAAGGTAAAGAAACACAAGCCTACATCCCATGAATCACAGATATCCAGCTGAAAGAGGAAAGGCAACAAACATAGACTCCACTTCTGTGGACACCAATTAAGTTCAATCTGGCAAAACTTCATAAGGTTCATATGTATATAATCTTAGAGCTGAATGCCTGGAATTCCACTTATCTGGCAGGTATGAGAGATCAAAACCTCATGTCCTTTGGTTAAGACAAGGGCTCTACTTGGATCCTAGAAAATATCTCCAGTTGTACACATCGTATTCTACACATTCTACTTTAAACCCTTGGAGGAGCCCTGTGGTTCCTGGCCTAAGTGCTAAGACACTGACATTACTGTTTGCTACAATTTCCCCCCACAAGGTGACCACTTGTGATATGTTCTCTCAACTTCCTGCCTCAGAACTTATATGAGACTCATTCTGGAAACTCTTTTTTTTTTTTTTTAAAGATTTTATTTATTTATGTATTAGAGAGCGAGAGAGAGAGAAACAGCATGAGAGGGGAGAAGGTCAGAGGGAGAAGCAGGCTCACCCCTGAGCTGGGAGCCCGATGTGGGACTCGATCCCAGGACTCCAGGATCATGACCTGAGCCGAAGGCAGTCGCTTAACCAACTGAGCCACCCAGGCGCCCTCATTTTGGAAACTCTTAAAAAGAGTCTGCTCTCCAAACTCCCAAATCCCTGTTGGTTTGTTCTGATGAACAGCACTCTTATCTTCCCACCTCCCTACCTCAGAAGCCAAAGAGGGCTTTCCCTCTCATGCTACTATTTATTCATCAGCCCTGTTCCTCCTCCTAAAATCTGTCTTCCTTCACAGATGTCACTGGCCTGCCTAGACCAGCTCTAACACCCAACTCTAAAGAGCTCCCTCTTCCAAAAGCCCAAAAGGCTATTCTATTGTTGTTTAAAACATACAAACTATGGTTCCCTCCCGATTAGTTTTTGTTAAGACTGATATCATTTGTATTCCTTGAGGAAAGAGCACGTGGATACCAGAGTGAAAGAAACTGAAGCATGCAGAAGGTCAAGAGAAAAATCAATTTGGTAACAGTAATTTCTAAAAAAAATAAAAAATAAAAATAAAAAGCAACAGATAATTGCATTTGTGTTCAACTAATTATACTACAGAAACAGAGGATAATAGCTATCCTCAAAGCCATTTTTTTCCTCAATCCTTAGAAATGACTAGGCTTTTACCTCCAGTGAATCCCTTAGCCACACACTATTAGCACGGTGTCTGGTTGGCAGCCAACCCAACAATGCCCCTAGTTCTCAGCAGAGAACTATGGAAACACAAGGGCCTGAGGTATGTACAGTGAGAGAATCGGACTGAGGCTCCAGCCCTCTGCTGTACCTGCTAACTTTACCCCAGGAGCCACCACATCCCTTTCTTCCTCTAGTGCATATATGAACACACACACACACACACACATACTCTCACACACACACACACACACACAAATGTGGAACACAAAGACATAAACAAGGAATTTTTTCTATTAGCTATTAAACCAAAGTGAGAGCTGTTGGGGAAAAAAACAAATTCTTCCCCAGAAAACTTCCTTCAAACTTGAGAACTAATGGACCAGAGAGAGTACTGCTCAAAGAAAACATCTAATAAGCACTTGCTCAACTGTTGCAAATGCTGACAACTAAAATTTATAATAAGCTAAGGAAGCTATTTAATTTATAGCCATCTCCACATCTCCTACCTAGAGTAATTCCCTTTTCTTATAAATTAGAACACTGTTAAGGAAAAGTCTAGGAGCTACAGCAACAGGGACAAAATGCCATTCTGGATTTTCCATGTTTCCCAGCTTTTCAGAGAACTGGCAGTAGGAACTTTGAGGGAAAATGAATTTTTAAGGCCAGAGTTATTCTTTCTTCCTGCTCCCAACTCATTAGCTTAGAAATTGTAAAGATGTTGGAGATCTCAGCTAAATGTTCACCACTCTGCCCTTCCCACCAAACTTCCCAGTTCTATCCAGCCAGATAACCCATATGAACCTGAGTTAGACTAATCCCTATGGAAACTACCCCAGAAGCAATCATCACTTGGAAGCCAGCAAGGAATTGCCCTGTATCAGTTCCCAACTTGTAAGTTTACCAGTCTCTAGGAGGTCTCTCCTAATTATGTGCTAACAAAATAGTTTTCCTCCCTCTAATTTCTTTTTTTATTTATTTTTATTTTTTTAAAAATTTTAAAAAGATTTTATTTATTTATGTATTAGAGAGCGAGAGAGAGAGAAACAGCATGAGAGGGGAGAAGGTCAGAGGGAGAAGCAGGCTCACCCCTGAG